GCGCGCGCAGACCGTCTACGCCAGGTTCCTCCGGGACCCCGAGGCCAAGAAGCGCGACCCCCGGGACACCTTCCTGGTAGCCCGGGCCCCCGACGCCCCCGAAGGTGAGGGGGGACCCGAGGGGGGGAAGCTGGGGCCGGTGCTGGGCGCAGGGCCGCCGGGGGCTAAGCGCCAGCCTGAAGAGGTCAGATCGCCACTCCCCATTTTACATCTGAGGAAACTGAGGCACAGAGTGGTTGAGCGGTTGGCCTGAAGTTTCAGCGAGGAGCCCGAAGGGCCCCGACGGGGAAGGCGGTGGGGGCAGCAGAGAAGGAGGGAAATGGAAGCGGCAGGGAGCTAAGCTGCCTGAGAAGGGGAGGAGGGGGAGGGAGGGAAAGGTGAGGGGGGACAGGTGAGGGGGGACAGTTGAGAGGGAGACCGACCCCAGCTCACTGACCAGAAAGGTGTGAGGATGCCCTGTGTCCAAAGGCTGCAGGCGCCGGTGGCTCACACTTGTAATCCTAGCTCCCAAGGAGGCTGAGATCTGAGGATCAGGATTCAAAGCCAGCCTGGGCAGAAAAGTCCATGAGACTCTGATCTCCAATAAACTACTCATAAAACCGGAAGTGGCGCCTGGCACACACACACACACACACACACACACACACACACAGCCGCCCATCCGCCCATTGCCAGCAACCTGCAGGATCTGGGTCCCACTATGAGTTTCTATCTACAGATGATGAGGAAGAGGATGATGACCAGGATGAGGAGGAAGAGGAAGAAAAGAAAGAGAAAAGCCCTGTGCCCCCCAAAAAGCCCCCTAAGGAGAAGGACAGGAGGGCCAAGGCCCCAGGCCTGAAAGGTGGGTGTTGGGGGCACTGGAGAGCCCAAGCCTCCTTAGAACCACTGTGCACAGGATGTGAGACTCGTCACCAATGCCTTTCCAGAAGCTTCTATTCCATGGTGTTCTTTGATAGCCTGGTATTCCCTTCCAGCACTCCTGCTCAGAAAGGGTCCGGGCAGTTTGGCTTTCTTTGTCTTTCTTTGTGGGGTTTTCACTCAAATGTAAACTAGTGTTTTTGTTTTGTTTGTTTTTGGCCGGTCATGGGGTTTGAACTCTGGGGTTGGGCGCTGTCCCTCAGCTATTTAGCTCAAAGCGAGCACTCTACCGCTTGAGCCACAGTGTCACTTCCAGTTTTCTAGTGGTTTATTGGAGATCAGAGTCTCTTGGACTTTTCTGCCTGGGCTGGCTTTGAACTGTGATCCTCAGATCTCAGCCTCCTAAGTAGCTAGGATTACAGGCTTGAGCCATCGGCGCCCGGCTAACTAGTGTTATTTTTAAAATAGTTACAGCCAGGAGCGGTGGTCATATTAGAAAATGAGTAACTGTGGCTAGGTAAGAACCTGAACTGTGCCAGTCGAGCCGTGGAAATAAGCAGCTCCTGAAGGAGGGTCTGCGGGGCGGGGGGGGGGGGGGGGGGGGGGGGGGGGGGGGGGGGGGGAGGGGGGAACCCAGCGACTTGTGCCGCCCCCCCCGCCCCTTGCTAATTGCGTGTGTTGTTTCTAGATTTTGTCCAACACTTTTTTTTTTATCCAGAGGGGATGGGGGAAACGTAAAAGTTGGGGGGGGGGCTCAAGCCAAGTGCGCAATCCTAGCTACTCAGGAGGCTGAGATCTGAGGACCGAGGTCTGTGAGACTCTGATCTCCAATGAACCACCAGAAAACCGGAACTGGCCCTGTGGCTCCAAGTGGTAGAATGCTTGCCTTGAGTTGGAAGAACTTCTGGGACAGTGCTCAGGCCCTGAGTTCAAGCCCATAAATGACAAAAGAAAGAGAGGGAGGGAGGAAGGAAGGAAGGAGAAGCTGGGCTCCAATGTCTCACGCCTGTAATCCTAGCTACTCAGGAGGTTGAGATCTAAGGATTGAAGTTCAAAGCCAGCCTGGACAGCAAAGTCCGTGAGACTCTATCTCCAATAAAACCACTAGAAAACCGGAAGTGGCGCTGTAGGTCAAGTGGTAGAGCGTTAACCTTAAGCTGAAGAACTGAGGGACAGTGCCCAGGCCCAGAGTTCAAGCCCCATGGCCGACAAAAAGAAAAAAAGGAAAAGAAACGGTAAAGACAGGCAGAAGGTAGACTGCAGACCCTGCCAGGCATTCAGCTTCCCTGGGGATCAAGGCGGGGTGAGGGGTCCCAGTACCCCCATTGCACCTCTCACTTGCAGGGGACCCTGGAAGCCCAGACCCCCCACGGAAAGCACTTCGTACCAGGAAGGAGGCCGGGCTGGGAGCCAAGAAGAAGGCAAAGAAGAAAGGTAAGCTGGGCCAGGAAGCCTGGGGGGGGCAGGTCATGACCTCTCATACCCACAGCATGGGGGGGGTGGAGGGGCAGGTCATGACCTCTCATACCCACACAGCAGCATCGGGAGAGACTGGCAAGGACGAGGGGAGCCCGGATGGGGTGAGGAAGAAGAGCCCCGCGGCCATGTTTCTGGTTGGGGAAGGCAGCCCAGCCCAGGCCACCCGCTTCCCCAAAAAGAAGAAAGGTGAGCGTGCCGGGGCCTGGGGTGGCTCTTCAGGGGTCAGCGGTCAGGGCAGGGGAAGAGTGTGGGTTGGAGAGTCAGAAAATGTGGGGGGACATCTTGTCCCCTGTTTTGACAGCTGGGGGAAGGGAGAGGGCCACAGGCATCCGAGCTTGGTGAGGTCTTCCCAGCCTCCCCCCCCCATGCCCAGCCCCACCCAAAGGCTCAGAAGAAGAGAAGAAAGAGGAGGAAGAAGAGGAGGAGGAGGAAGAAGAGGAAGAGGAGGGGACAGCTGTGGCGACCAAGAACAGCAACCAGAAGGGCAAAGCAAAAGGAAAAGGCAAAAAGGTTAGGGGTGCAGAGGGGGAGGGGAAGGGAAGGGGAGGGGCAGGTGGGCGTGGCCTGTGGAGCATGAGGGCTGGGTGGGACTCTGGCCACCCTGTGTGACAGAAAAGCACAGGGAATCCAGTTCAGGGGGGCAGAAGAGGCACGGGGGCAGCAGGCTCAAAACAGTTGCAACCAGCCAGGTATCAGTGGCTCACACCTGAAATCTCAGCTACTCTGGAGGCTGGGATCTGAGGATCACCGTTCAAAGCCAGCCTGGGCAAGAAAGTCTGTAAGACACTTATCTCCAATGAGCCATCAGACAACCCAAAGTGGCGCTGTGGCTCAGAGTGGTAGAGCGCTAGCTCTGAGCTGGAAAAAGCTCCAGAACAGCACTCTTCAGGTCCTGAGTTCAAGTTCCACAATGAGGGGGGGGCTCCAGCTGGGCTCATACCTGTAAGCCTAGCTACTCAGGAAGGTGAGATCTGAGAATCAGGGTTCAAAGCAGGAAACTCCATGAGACTCATATGTCCAGAAAACCGGAAGTGGCTCAAGTGGTCGAGTACTCGCCTTGAGCTGAAGAGCTGAGGGACAGCACCAGGCCTGAGATCAAGCCCCATGACTGACAAAAAAATAAGAATAATAACTGTTCCAACCGAGAAGCTGGACAGGGAGGGAGGTTCAGAGGAGAAAAAGTGAAGAAGAGAATCTTCTAGAAGTAGGTTTCCTGCCAGCAGAGAGAGCAACCCACAGGTCTCTCGGTGGTGTTCTTCTAGCTCCATGGGTTGAGCGGAGCGGGCGTGTGGGGTCTCGATGGTGATTCACACAGACCAGATGGCCAGGTGCTGATGTCTGGACCCCCAGGCCAGTGCATTCCCTCCGGGGAGAGCACAGTGAAGAACAGACCACAGGGGAGGCCCTTGAAGTCCCCAGCAGTGGGAGTGCTGGAGTCTGCTCTGGCTTTTTCCACATGGCATTCCAAACATAGTCTTGTGTTTCCCAACTTTCCTCTGAAGCCGGGGACCGGGGAGGCTCCATGGTCATTTGCCGCAGGCGGAGGCCCACGGGCTGTCTGTCCCCTTCCACACAGTAGAACCCTGCCAGCGGCAAGAGCGCCGGCCCCAGTCCACCTAGGCTCCCAGACCGCATTGCGTTCTCGTTCTCAGGTGCAGCAGGCACCGGCTGCTAGTCCCACGCTCTCCTTGGTGGGGGCCGGGGCTTTGAGTCATGCTCCCCGCTGGAAGGGAGGGAATCGATGGACAAAAGGCAGAAGGCCACTGGGAACCGGAAGGATCGTTGTGGCATCCCCAGGCCTTTGCGGGGGCTTCTGCAACTGAAAGCATTAGGAGTTTCTCAAAGAACAGAGCACACGTACTTGGTACTTGAGGGGTTAGCCGTGTCGCAAATCCCTCCCCAGCAGCGCTGCCACAAATGTGCATTTTCCTTCACTCAGCTTCTGAAAGGCAGAGTTCAAGGAGGGTCATTGGGAAGCCTGACCCGCGGGGACAGTCCATGTCTAAGATGGCTCCCGTGGTGGCTGAGGTCTAGAGGCCCATCCCTCTGTACGTGGCTCCTCCTTAGAGTATTTGTATGACTTGGGCCCCCCAACTTTCACCAGGGTCCAAGCCAGAGCCAATGACCCAGTCTCAGAAGTGAGCCCCCATTGCTTTTATTGGTCACAAAGATGAATGCAAAGACACTCTGTGACAGGAGACTCCACATGCCTAAAACCAGAGTTGGGGTACCTGGAATAGGTTGGGTGGCTCTAGTGGTAGAGTACTACTTTTTGTTGTTGTTCTTTACGTGGTGCTGAGGAATGGAACCCAGGGCTTCATGCATGCTGGGCAAGCACTCTACCACTGAACCACCTTCCCAGCCCAGGAGTGTTCATCTTAAGGGGAAAAAAAAAAGCTCAGGGACAGCACCCAGGCCCCTGAGTTCAAGCCCCAGGACCAGCACACACACACAAATGCTGGGTGTGGTGGTACACATCGGTAATCCCAGCACTAGGAAGCTGAAGCAGGAGGATTCCCAAATTCAAGGCCAGCCTGATCTGTAGAGACACTCTTGTCTCAAGGATGAAACAACGAATTAACAAGAGATCCTTTTGAGGTGCAGAAGAGTGACGATTGGGGTTTGCCTCCACACAGGCACCTTGCTTATCAGACTTGAAAGAAAAAGGAAATGCACTGAACCCTGAGAGATGTTAGCGATAGAAGCAGGCTTGGCCCCTCAACAGTCTCTCCAGAACCCCAGCTCTTAATCACAAATGAAATAACAGGCTGGGGGGGGGGGCTCCTGAGCCGCTGCCCAGGTGCGGGGCTGAGCTGGGGGACAGAGGTGACCCAGCTTCCAGGGCCCAGCCTGGCCAGCCTGCCACGTGCCCTGCCACGGGGGGGGGGGCACCTGCTGAAGGGGCCTCCGTCCACCAGAAGGAAGAGAGGCCCGCGTCCCCGCCCGTGGAAGTGGATGACCCCCGGGAGTTCGTGCTGCGGCCCGCGCCCCAGGGCCGCACCGTGCGCTGCCGGCTCACCCGCGACAAGAAGGGCATGGACAGGGGCATGTACCCCTCCTACTTCCTGCACCTGGATGCCCAGAAGAAGGTGGGGATGCAGGGAGGAGGTGGGGGTGCTGGGAGGGTCTCCCCACCCCTCCTCCAGCCCACTTCCACCTCCTTGTCTCCTCCCCACTGTCTGTCCATCTGTCTGTCTCCCTCCCCCAGGTGTTCCTGCTGGCGGGCAGGAAACGGAAGCGGAGCAAGACAGCCAATTACCTCATCTCCAGCGACCCCACCAACCTGTCCCGAGGAGGGGAGAATTTCGTGGGAAAGCTGAGGTGGGTGGGGTCCCCGGGGCAGGGCCTGGGGTCGGGGTGGCTGGCAGTGTCCGCGCCCCCAGACGCTGGCCCAGGGCATGGGTGACCTGGGGTGGTCGGCAGGCCTGGGTGGGCTGCAGGGTTGCTGTTTCCATCTGGCTGGGCTGGCAGGCACAGGGCTCTGTGCGGGTGGTACCAGCCCCCGAGGGCTGTGTGGGAATTCCCAGCTCCTGGGGACAGCGGCAGCTGGGCATTTCCCCAGGACTCCCAGTGTCGCAGGCTGAGTTGGTGAGGTCTCCCCGACATCCACGTCTGAGAGGAGTTGGGGACACCAGGCCCTTTTCTTTTGGTGCTGGTTCTAGGGCTTGAACTCAGGGCCTGGGCGCGATCCCTGAGCTTTTTCACTCAAGGCTGGTGCTCTACTACTTGAGCCACAGTCCATTTCCAACTTTTTGCTGGTTCACTGGAGATAAGAATGTCATAGCCGGGCACTGGTGGCTTATGCCTGTCATCCTAGCTCCTCAGGAGGCTGAGATCTGAGGATCATGGTTCAAAGCCAGCCCAGGCTGCAAAATCCATGAGACTCTGATCTCCAATAAACGACTAGAAAACCAGAAGTGGTGCTGTGGCTCAAGTGGTAGAGCACAAGCCTCGAGCTGAAGAGCTGAGGGACAGAACCCAGACCACGAGATCAAGCCCCATGACCAAAAACATAAAGAATGTCATAAACTTTGCTGTCTAAATTGGCTTCAAATGGTGATGCTCAAATCTCAGCCTCCTGATTAGAATTACAGACGTGAGCCTCCAGCACCTCACAGCCTTATTTTCTTGTGTATTTAACAAAAATTATAGAGGAGCTGTCTATGATTAAGCTGAGTTCTAATAGCTAAACATATTTTTAATTTTTTCATTAATTTTTATTACTATAAAGGTGATATACAGAAGAGTGACAGTGGCATAAGTCAAGCAGAGTGCATTTCATTGGACAATGTCACTCCTTCTCCCTGCGAAACATTGTTTGTTTGTTTGCCAGTTCTGGGGCTTGCATTCTGGACCCAGGTGCTCTCCCTGAGGTTCATTTTGCTCAGGGCTAGCCCTCTACCCCTTGAGCCACAGCTCTACAGTCTGACTTTTTCTTTTTCTTTTCTTTTTTTGGGTCCGGTCGTGGGGCCTGAACTCTGGGCCTGGGCGCTGTCCCTCAGCTCTTCAGCTCAAGGCTAGCGCTCTACCACTTGAGCCACAGCGCCACCTCCGGCTTTTTTCTTTTTGCTTATGTGGTGCTGAGGAATCGAATCCAGGGCCTCATGCGTGCAAGGCAAACCTTCTACCACTGAGCCACCTTCCCAGCCCCCAGGCTGACTTTTTCTATGATCAATTGGAGATAAGAGTCTCACAGACCTTCCTGCCCAGCCTGGCTTTGAACTGCAGTCTTCAGATCTCAGCTTCCTGAGTAGCTAGGATGACAAGCCTGTGTCACTTGCCTGGCTAAACATAGTTTTAAACAACTAGGAACCCTTTTAAACTTCTTCTTATCCAAATGAGGGAAAAACTGTTATGCCCATCTTCTAGATGGGAAAGTTGTGAGTTTAACTTGTCTAAGATAGAGCCAGCATTAGAGTGTTTCAGAAGATGTGGCTATTTAGTAAGCTTTGCTGGCCAAGTGTGGTGGCATATACCTACAATCCCAGCACTGGGGAGGCTGAGGCAGAAGGATCTTGAGTTTGAGGCCAGCCTGTGCTACATAGTGGACCGTGGCAGGATGTGAAGGCTTCAGTGCTGAGCCCCCCCCACCTTTCCTGGGGTGGCAGGAGGAGGCTCTGGGGGTCTGGGTCGGGCCTGGCACCCCCTTAGCCCCACCCCACCTGCAGGTCCAACCTCCTGGGGAACCGCTTCACGGTCTATGACAGCGGCCAGAACCCGCAGCGGGGCGGGGGCGGCTCGGAGGTGGACAGCCTGCGGCAGGAGCTGGCAGCTGTGATCTATGTGAGAGCCCCGCGTCTGTTCCCACACCAGAGCCTGGCCCGGGAGGGGGGGGGAGGGGGGAGGGGAGGGGGAGGGGCACCCTGACCCACAACTCTCTCCCAGGAAACCAACGTGCTGGGCTTCCGCGGCCCCCGACGCATGACAGTCATCATCCCAGGCATGAGCTCGGACAACGAGAGGGTCCCCATCCGGCCCCGAAACGTGAGCCCTGTTACCCCCCCACCCCCGGGGCCCCTAGCTGGGGACTCAGTTTCCCCAAAGCCCAGTACTCTGACAGCTTGTAGAATGAGGTCCAGTCTGCCATGGAATGCAGTTTTTTCAGAGCAAAGCATGCGCTCGGGGCCTCACAGAACACGCACAGCCAAGGGAATAGCATCGGAACAGGGAGAGCCAGTGCAAAGGCCCTGCGGCGGAGGGCGCCCGGTGCTTTGAGGATCAGCAAGGTGGCCGTGGTAGCTGGAAGACATGAGGTCAGAGGGGAAGATGATGGGCAGATAGGGCCTGCGGAACTGGTTTTGGCTCTGAGAAATATGGAAAGGGTTTTGAGCTGAGGAGCCATATGACATTTTTTGAAAGCAAAGGTTGAGGGGAGGGGAGTGCGGGTGTGGGGTAGGTTAAGAGTTGTCCGGGACTGGCAATGCTGGGCTTTGCTCCTTAGCACTGCAGGTCTGGGAGGCCGGGACTAAATGTCCTGCGCTCACAGGACACTGATGTCACCCTGCTCTTTTACGACCGAAAGTAAATACCCCGTCAGCTGCTCATATGCCCTTCCCTGCCCGGACGCTGTGCTACCGTCACAGGCCAGGCTGGCCGGGGGCACAGGGATGGGAAACTGAGCCTCTAGGGCCCAGAGCTGTTCCTGCAGGGACGTGCGAGTTGGGGCTTAGTAAGAGCAAGGTGCTGGGAGCTCTTCTCATTGCCATTCCCGCCGCCGTCATTTGCTTTCGGGGGTGGAGAGGAATACTCAGGTCTGCCTACTCACCTGCTTTGTGCTCTGCCACTTGAGCCACACCTCCAGTCGTGCTCCGTGTGTGTGTGTGTGTGTGTGTGTGTGTGTGTGTGTGTGTGTGTGTGTCTGTGTCTGTGTCTGTGTCTGTGTCCTGGGGCTTGAATTCTGGACCCGGGTGCTATCCTTGACTTTTTGTTTTGCCAGTCCTGAGGCTTGAACTCAGGGCCTGGGCGCTGTCCCTGAGCTCCTTTTGCTCAAGGCTAGCACCCTACCATTTGAGCCACATGGTCACTTCTGGCTTTTTCTGCTTATGCGGTGCTTGAGGAATCGAACCCAGGCATCATGCATGCAAGGCAAGCGCTCTAGCACTGAGCCGCCTTCCCAGCCCTTTGCTGGTTATTTTGGAGGTGGGATCTAGAAGACTTTTATGCCCTGGCTGGCCTCCTTCTGTAGCCCTCCAGATCTCAACCTCTTGAGTAGTTCCGATTACAGGCATGAGCCACAGCACCTGACTCTGCAGTCATTTATTATACACACACTCTGCCAGTTACCCAAGACCCAAACTCCACACAGCAGGTTCCTAAAATACGACCGTGAGTGATTAGCCCATGTCAGGAACTCCTCTAAATAATCCTCCATGTGCTATGAATTTATTCAGTCCTCACACACCCCATTGTGTGGGACTCTGAGGGGTGGAGATGAGACAACCCTATGACTCCTGCCAACACAGTATCCAATTCCAGCCCAGGAAGAGAATGGTAGGAGCAAGGCATCATGGGAGCCAAGCCGAGCCATTGAAATCGGGAAGGCTCCTTGGAGGAGGTGATCTCCAAGCCAGAAATGTCAGCCGATGACTGACAGGGAGACAGGCCACCAGCACCATCTTATAGTCACATCTCCTTTTCGCAAACTATATCATTCTCTTTTGGCCTCCTATGCATCTCCTTGGCTAGTCATACATTCTGGAGACCCTGTGGGGTGTCAGGTGCCCCTTTCTATTTTCCAGCCCTCTGTTTTGGAACCCCTCCTCGCAGACAAGCCCCGTCCTCAGATGTTGACCCAGCCCCTAGTACCCTCAGGTGCCAGGGGTACTGAAGCTCAGTGGATGTGGCATGCCTAACTGTGCATCTTAGGCTCTGCACGGGTGTCCTGGTCCAGCGAGCTCAGCACCTCTAACTGTGCTCTCCTCTCTGTTCCCATCCTGCCCTCGCAGGCCAGCGATGGGCTGCTGGTTCGCTGGCAGAACAAGACACTGGAGAGCCTCATCGAGCTGCACAACAAGCCGCCGGTCTGGAATGAGGATAGCGGCTCCTACACCCTTAACTTCCAGGGCCGAGTCACCCAAGCCTCAGTGAAGAACTTCCAGATTGTCCACGCTGATGACCGTGAGTGTCAGGGCCCAGGTCAGGCTGCTCCCTGCATCTGCCTGACCCCTGTCATCACTCAGGCCTGGCCCAGGCCTGTGTCCTGGGACATCTGCAAGGTTACTGTCTTCTAAGGGCTCTGACTCTGGGCTTCTGGGAGCCTCTGCATTCCCAGAGGGAGTCCAGGCTTCGTGATTCCAGGTTCTCAGTCTAGCATTAACCAAAGCCCTGGGGTAGATCTGGGACATTGAGAGCCTGATTGTATCAGGAGAGATGAACTGCGGGGGTCCCACAGCCACCAAGCACCCAACCTGGCAGGGTCAAAGGTTCCGAGGCTCAGAGGCTGGCCCTTACCCCCAAAGCCTCTCTATTTTGCGAGCTGGGCAGTCCTGATGACTCAGGACTGTAATCCTAGCTACTGGGGAGGCTGAGATCTGAGGACTGAGGTTCAAATCCAGCCCTGGCAAGAAAGACTGTGATAGTCTTATCCTTAAACACTAAAAGACAGGAAGTGGAGCTTTGGTCAAGTTATAGAGCAGTAGCCATAACCCAGACTGGCAGGAAAAAAAAATTATTTTGCAAAATGGACACAGAGGCTGGGGCATGACACAAGTGGTAGAGAGAAGTACTGAGTTCAAACCTTGGTACCCCAACAACAACTCTGACAGTGGCTTTAAAGAGGCAGGTACTGTACTTGGCACTTTAAATTGTCAAACCCTTTCCACAACCCTATGAGGAAAGTGTCTTTAGCTTCCAGAGAGGCTCAGTAATCTGCCCAAGGTCACACAGCAAATAGGAGGTAGCAACAAGACCAGAACCTTTCCAAGTCTTCAAAATGGTTGCCTTTCACAAGCACGAAATACTAATCAAGCATTTGAGTATCTTAAATGAAGTCAAAGGACTACCTTAACTGAATGAGGGAAACTAGATGTACCTGGAACAGAATTAGATGAAACTGACCCTGTTGTAAACTAGGGTGAAGAAGTTTGGGGGGCTGGGAAAGACTCCAGGTTCACAGGGTTGGGATAACACCAAGCAAGTCCCCCACCCCCTACTCTGCCCTAGGGATGGACCCTGTGTCACCGGTCCTCCGACTTTGGATTGCTCCCCAGATCACATTTCTGGTAGAGCTTGGTCCCCATCAGACCAGAGTTTGGGAGGTATATTTAGCAATATTCTGTCTCTCCCAGTGCTGGGGGAGGTGTTGTGGTTTGGGGCTAGAAAATGGGATCCGATTGGACTGGATGAGGGCCATGCTGAGTGGGGCCCCTACCTAAGGAAGGACCCAGGGACCAGTGAAAGTTTTGAACCTGGGGTTTAAGGTGGGGTTTGGGGGAACTTGGGAAGAGCGAGGAGCGTGAAGGAAGGCTGCCAAAAGACAAACGGAGAAGTTGGGAAGGAAAGGCTCTGGGCTGGGGTGAGCTTGGTGGAGGAGGAGTCCTGCATGGCTAGATTAAGGCCTGCAGAGGTATGGCCCGGGGCAGCCACAGATAAGACAGGCCCCTGCCCTGAGGCCTACAGTGACCCAGTACAGGTGGGGCCGGTTGGATGAGCTAGGAAGGGGAAGGTAGGTGGGCAGAGCTCTGCTAGGGTTGGGGCTCTATTGCAAAGAAACGAGCCCCCTCCCCACTGCGGGCTGGGCGTGTTGCTGGCCAGGATGGGGTCCCCAGGCCCCCGCCCTCCCCCACCGGCTCGTGTCGGTCCACAGCCGACTACATCGTGCTGCAGTTCGGCCGGGTGGCGGAGGATGCCTTCACCCTGGACTACCGGTACCCGCTGTGCGCCCTGCAGGCCTTCGCCATCGCCCTCTCCAGTTTCGATGGGAAGCTGGCCTGCGAGTGACCCCGGCGCCCCGCGGAGCCCGACCGGGAG